GGTCTACAGTGCACTGATCTATGAACTGCCACAGACGTGGGACTCCAGCGGAAAGTTAATCACTCCTGACTATCCTACCTTCACATGACAACTACCACAGTTGGGTGGTTAACAGAGGGTCTCTGACTGTTAACCACATGATGCTATTATGAAACGCCCACTCCTCTCTCCCAGACTACAGCTTTAAGACTCTGTCTACATCGGCACATGGTAGACCTGATGGGGCTTGCCTTCGTGTGGAGTTGTGAGGGTGGTATAGTATATGGACTTGGTGGAGTTGTGAGGGTGGTATAGTATATGGACTTGGGGAGTTTCAGAACTATAAATACTTTTTAAGCAAATCTCTCTCTCACTCTCTCTCCATCCCTCCCTTCCTCCGCTCTGAGGCAGGGCTGGAGCAGTCAATACTGAAGACCCTATGGTCTGATGAAGCAGTGCACTAGGCAGGTGTGGGCCATAGACCACAAAGCAGGGCAATTCCACACAGAAAAGAAACAAATCCTGCCCAAGGAATAATCCACATCAGTCTTTATCTTCTAAGGCCTACATGAAGGCAACCGTTTAAATCCAGCTTACTCTAAAATGGATGATAAATGGGAGTTGTTCAGACCCACATTCTACAAAGCCCCCTGGCCTAGAGAAGTCCTTTGAAGTAGATTAATCCAAAAGATTTCCAGATAAGAGGAATAATCAACCCAGTCTTAGAAACGGGATGACACCAATCGCCTATCTGGCCATTAAGCCATCTGAAGTGTAGAGGGGTATAGAGGGCTATAGACGGGTGTAGACAGGGCCAGCTCCAGGCATACGCGACATAAGCGGTTGGGGGCCCGAGCCGCTAGGGGGCCCCCAACCCAACAACAAAAAAGAGTGTTAGAAAAGTAGAATACACAAAGTGCAAGTTCGAAATTTGGTTGTGCATCAGCAATTTTTCTCTTCTTATGCCAGTCACTGACAGTCACTCAATTTGCCATGTCAGATTTAAAAAATGTCGATTGGTAAATTAGTCTAGTCAGCTATCTAAACAGGCCCTGGGTGTAGAGGGGTGTAAATGGGTGTAGACTGATTGAAGAGGGGTGTATGGTGTAGAGGGGTGTATGATTTAGAGGGGTGTGGGGGGGTGTGCCTGGGTGTAGATGGGTGTAGAGGGGTGTAGAGGGCTGGGGGGTGTAGTATGTGTAGAGGGGTGTAGAGGGCTGTAGAGGGGTGTAGATGGGTGTAGAGTGCTGTTGAGGAGTGTAGATGGGTGCAGACTGGGTGTAGACGAGTGTAGAGGAGTGGGGGGTGTAGTGGTATGTAGGGTGGTGTAGAGAGGTGTAGGTCACTGACAGTCACTCAATTAGCAATGTCAGCTAAAACAAATTGATTGGAAATTAGTCTAGCCAGCTATCTAAACTACCGACCGGTCACGCAGGGCAAGTGCCCAGGGTGTCACGACTTCCGCCGAAGTTGGTGCCTCTCCTTGTGCGGGCGGCTATCGGCGGTCTTCTAGCTGCCACCGATCTACGTTTCTGTTTTCTATTTGTTTTGTCTTTATTGTACACACTTGGTTCCCATCACGTTATGATTATTTCTCTATTTAACCCTCTGGTTCCCTCATGGTTTTGTGCGTGATTGTTCTTTGTTTGGTATTTATGACTGCTGTGAGCTGGTGTATTTCCCTGAGTGGAATTAGTATTTGTTTCTTTCCGAGTAAAGTTCGTCTGTTACTCAGTTCTGTGTCCTGCGCCTGACTCCGTCCTACTGCTGCACACTGACACCTGACACAGGGGCCCTGACCTCCATGGGGCCCCTATTGATTTTGTTAGTCACACATTTTTGGGGGGGTTTGTATCATTTGATTTATACAACATGCCTACCACTTTGAAGATGCAAAATATTGTTTATTGTGAAACAAACAGGAAATAAGACAAAAAAACAGAACCTGAGCGTGCATTACTATTCACCACCCTAAAGTCAATACTTCGTAGAGCCACCTTTTGCAGCAATTACAGTTGCAAGTCTCTTGGGGTATGTCTCTATAAGCTTGGCACATCTAGCCACTGGGATTTTTGCCCATTCTTCAAGGCAAAACTGCTCCAGCTCCTTCAAGTTGGATGGGTTCTGCTGGTGTACAGCAATCTTTAAGTCATACCACAGATTCTCAATTGGATTGAGGTCTGGGCTTTGACTAGGCCATTCCAAGACATTTAAATGTTTCCCCTTAAACCACTCGAGTGTTGCTTTAGCAGTATGCTTAGGGTCATTGTCCTGCTGGAAGGTGAACCTCCGTCCCAGTCTCAAATCTCTGGAAGACTGAAACAGGTTTCCCTCAAGAATTTCCCTGTATTTAGCGCTATCCATCATTCCTTCAATTCTGACCAGTTTCCCAGTCCCTGCCGATCAAAAACATCCCCAAAGCATGATACTGCCACCACCATCCTTCACTTTGGGGATGGTGTTCTCGGGGTGATGAGAGGTGTTGGGTTTGCGCCAGAAAGCTCAATTTTAGTCTCATCTGACCAAAGTACCTTCTTCCATATGTTTGGGGAGTCTCCCACATGGCTTTTGGCGAACACCAAACGTGTTTGCTTATTTCTTTCTTTAAGCAACGGCTTTTTTTCTGGCCACTCTTCCATAATGCCCAGCTCTGTGGAGTGTACGGTTTAAAGTGGTCCTTTGGACAGATACTCCAATCTCTGCTGTGGAGCTTTGCAGCTCCTTCAGGGTTATCTTTGGTCTCTTTGTTGCCTCTCTGATTAATGCCCTCCTTGCCTGGTCCGTGAGTTTTGGTGGGCGGCCAGCTCTTGGTAGGTTTGTCGTGGTGCCAAATTATTTCAATATTTGAATAACGGATTTAATGGTGCTCCGTGGGATGTTCAAAGTTTCTGATATTTTTTTATAACCCAACCCTGATCTGTACTTCTCCACAACTTTGTCCCTTGACCTGTTTGGAGAGCTCCTTGGTCTTCATGGTGCCGCTTGCTTGGTGGTGCCCCTTGCTTAGTGGTGTTGCAGACTCTGGCGCCTTTCACAACAGGTGTATATATACTGAGATCATGTGACAGATCATGTGACACTTAGACTACACACAGGTGGACTTTATTTACCTAATTATGTAACTTCTGAAGGTAAATGGTTGCACCAGATCGTATTTAGGGGCTTCATAGCAAAGGGGATGAATACATATACACGCACTACTTTTCCATTATTTATTTCTTCAAATTTCTTGAAAGAAATTATTTTTTTAATTTCACTTCACCAATTTGGACTATTTTGTGTATGTCCATTACATGAAATCCAAATAAAAATCCATTTAAATTACAGGTAATGAAACAAAATAGGAAAAACACCAAGGGGGATGAATACTTTTGCAAGGCACTGGAGATTTAAAGGAAATTCACTTTAAAACATACATTTCAAGAGGGGGGGGGGGGGTCACTAAAATGCTTTGCCCACAAGGTGGGGAGGGGCCCCCAACCAAATCTCGCTTAGGGCCCCAAAAAGGGTAGAGCCGGCCCTGGGTGTAGAGGGGTGTAAAGGGGTGTAGACTGATTGTAGAGGGGTGTATGGTGTAGGGGGGGTGTAGAGGGGTGTATGATGTAGAGGGGTGGGGGGAAGTTTACATACACCTTAGCCAAATACATTTAAACTCAGTTTTTTTTTACAATTCCTGACATTTAATCCTAGTCAAAATTCCCTGTTTTAGGTCAGTTCGGATCACCACTTTATTTTAAAAATGTAAAATGTCAGAATAATAGTAGAGAGAATGATTTATTTCAGCTTTTATTTCTTTCATCACATTCCCAGTGGGTCAGAAGTTTACATACACTCAATTAGTATTTGGTAGTATTGCCTTTAAATTGTTTAACTTGGGTCAAATGTTTCGGGTAGCCTTCCACAAGCTTCCCACAATAAGTTGTGTGAATTTTGGCCCATTCCTCCTGACAGAGCTGGTGTAACTGAGTCAGGTTATATAGGCCTCATTGCTCGCACACGCTTTTTTAGTTCTGCCCACACATTTTCTATAGGATTGAGGTCAGGGCTTTGTGATGGCCACTCCAATACCTTGACTTTGTTGTCCTTAAGCCATTTTGCCACAACTTTGGAAGTATGCTTGGGGTCATTGTCCATTTGGAAGACCCATTTGCGACCAAGCTTTAACTTCCTGACTGATGTCTTGAGATGTTGCTTCAATATATCCACATAATCTTCCTTCCTCATGATGCCATCTATTTTGTGAAGTGCACCAGTCCCTCCTGCAGCAAAGCACCCTCACAGCATGATGCTGCCACCCCCGTGCTTCACATCAAACGTAACAATGGTCATTATGGCCAAACTGTTCTATTTTTGTTTCATCAGACCAGAGGACATTTCTCCAAAAAGTACGATCTTTGTCCTCATGTGCAGTTGCAAACCGTAGTCTGTCTTTTTTATGGCGGTTTTGGAGCAGTGGCTTCTTCCTTGCTGAGCGGCCTTTCAGGTTATGTCGATATAGGACTCGTTCTACTGTGGATATAGATACTTTTGTACCTGTTTCCTCCAGCATCTTCACAAGGTCCTTTGCTGTTGTTCTGGGATTGATTTGCACTTTTCGCAACAAAGTACGTTCATCTCTAGGAGACAGAACGCGTCTCCTTCCTGAGCGGTATGACGGCTGCATGGTCCTATGGTGTTTATACTTGCGTACTATTATTTGTACAGATGAACGTGGTACCTTCAGTCGTTTGGAAATTGCTCCCAAGGATGAACCAGACTTGTGGAGGTCTACAATTATTTTTTGGCTGATTTCTTTTGATTTTCCCATAATGTCAAGCAAAGAGGCACTGAGTTTGAAGGTAGGCCTTGAAATACATCCACAGGTACACCTCCAATTGACTCAAATGATGTCAATTAGCCTATCAGAAGCTTCTAAAGTCATGACATAATTATCTGGAATTTTCCAAGCTTTTTAATGGCACAGTCAACTTAGTGTATGTCAATTTCTGACCCACTGGAATTGTGATACAGTGAATTAAAATTGAAATAATCTGTCTGTAAACAATTATTGGAAAAATTACTTGTGTCATGCACAAAATCTATAGTTTGTTAACAAGAAATGTGTGGAATGGTTGAAAAATGAGTTTTAATGACTCCAACATAAGTGTATGTAAACTTCCGACTTCAACTGTAGATGGGTGTAGAGGGCTGGGGGGTGAAGAGGGTTGTAGAGGGGTGTAGACGGATATAGATGGGTGTAGACGGGTGTAGACGGGTGTAGAGGGATGTATAGGGTAGTAGAGTGCTGGGGGGTGTAGTAGGCTATATGGGGCTTAGAGGGATGTAGGGTGTTGGGGGTGTAGTGGGGTTTAGGGGGGTGTAGACGGGTGAGGTGAAGGGGTGTGTAGGCAGCTGTAGAGGGGTGTAGACTCGGTGTAGAAGGTTGTAGTGCGTTGTAGAGGGATGTAGACGGATGTAGAGGGCTGGGGGGTGTAGAGGGGTATAGATTGGTGTAGATGGATGTAGAGGGTTGTAGAGGGGTGTAGCGGGCTGGGGGGTGTAGAGTGGTGTAGTGGGATGTATGATGTATGGGGGTGTAGTAAGGGTTAGGGGTTGAAGAGGGGTGTAGACTGGGTGTAGAGGGGTGTAGACGGGTGTAGAGGGCTGGGGGGTATAGAGGGGTGTAGATTGATGTAGAGGGTTGTAGAGGGCTGGGGGTGTTGTAGGCTTTAGGGGTTGTAGAGGAGTGTTGGGTGTAGTGTGTTGTAGTGGGGTTTAGGGTGGTGTAGAGGGGTGTATGGGGGGGTTGGTGTGTGTAGAGTTGTAGTGTAGACTGGGGTAGACTGGGTTTAGAGGGGTGTAGAGTGGTGTAGAAGGGTGTAGAGGGCTGTGGGGTGTAGTGGGATGTATGGGGTGTAGACTGGGTGTAGAGGGGTGTAGAGGGTTGTAGACGGGTGTAGATGGGTGTAGATGGGTGTAGAGGGGTGTAGAGGGTTGTAGACGGGTGTAGATGGGTGTAGATGGGTGTAGATGGTTGTAGAGGGGTGTAGAGGGTTGTAGAGGGGTGTAGACTCATGTAGACTGGGTGTAGAGGGGTGTATAGGGCTGGGGGGTGCAGTAGGCTGCAGGGGACGTAGAGGGGTGTAGGGTGTAGGGTGGTGTAGATGGGTTTGGGGGGTGTAGAGGGGTGTAGAGAAGTGTAGACTAGTTGTAGAGGGGTGTAGAGGGGTGTAGAGGGGTATGGACGGGTGAAGAGGGCTGTAGAGGGCTGTAGACTGCGCGTAGAAGGGTGTAGAGGGGTATAGATTTGGTGTTGAGGGCTAAAGAAGGGTGTAGGGGGCTATAGTGTGGTGTAGAGGGGCTTTATGGTGTAGAGGGGCTTTATGGTGTAGTGGGGTGTATGGGGGTGTAGACGGTTGTAGAGTACTGGAGGTGTAGTGGGGTGTGGATGGGTGTAGAGTGCTGTAGAGGAGTGTCGAGGGGTGTACAGTCGTGGTCAAAAGTTTTGAGAATGACACAAGTATTGGTCTCCACAAAGTTTGCTGCTTCAGTGTTCTTAGATCTTTATGTCAGTAGTTACTATGGTACACTGAAGTATAATTAAACGTATTCCATAAGTGTCAAAGGCTTTCATTGACAATGACATTCAGTTTATGCAATGAGTCAATATTTGCAGTGTTGACCCTTCTTTTTCAAGACCTCTGCAATCTGCCCTGGCATGCTGTCAATTAACTTCTGGGCCACATCCTGACTGATGGCAGCCCATTCTTGCATAATCAATGCTTGGCGTTTGTCAGAAGTTGTGGGTTTTTGTTTGTCCACCCTCTTGAGGATCGACCACAAGTTTTCAATGGGATTAAGGTCTGGGGAGTTTCCTGGCCATGGACCCAAAATGTCGATGTTTTGTTCCCTGGGCCACTTAGTTATCATTTTTGCCTTATGGCAAGGTGCTTCATCATGCTGGAAAAGGCATTGGTCGTCACCAAACCGTTCTTGGATGGTTGGGAGAAGTTGCTCTCGGAGGATGTGTTGGTACCATTCTTTATTCATGGCTGTGTTCTTAGGCAAAATTGTGAGTGAGCCTACTCCCTTGGCTGAGAAGCAACCCCACACATGAATGGTCTCAGGATGCTTTACTCTTGGCATGACACAGGACTGATGGTAGCGCTCACTTTGTCGTCTCCGGACAAGGTGTTTTCCGGATGGCCCAAACAATCGGAAAGGGGATTCATCAGAGAAAATGACTCTACCCCAGTCCTCAGCAGTCCAATCCCTGTACCTTTTGCAGAATATCAGTCTGTCCCTGATGTTTTTCCTGGAGAGAAGTGGCTTCTTTGCTGCCCTTCTTGACACCAGGCCATCCTCCAAAAGTCTTCGCCTCAGATGCACTCACACCTGCCTGCTGCCATTCCTGAGCAAGCTCTGCACTGGTGGTGCCCCGAACCCACAGCTGAATCAACTTTAGGAGACGGTCCTGGCGCTTGCTGGACTTTCTTGGGCGCCCTGAAGCCTTCTTCACAACAATTGAACCTCTCTCCTTGAAGTTCTTGATGATCCGATAAATGGTTGATTTAGGTGCAATCTTACTAGCAGCAATATCCTTGCCTGTGAAGCCCTTTTTGTGCAAAGCAATGATGACGGCACGGGTTTCCTTGCAGGTAACCATGGTTGACAGAGGAAGAACAATGATTTCAAGCACTACCTTCCTTTTAAAGCTTCCAGTCTGTTATTCTGACTCAATCAGCATGACAGAGTGATCTCCAGCCTTGTCCTCGTCAACACTCTCACCTGTGTTAACGAGACAATCACTGACATGATGGCAGCTGGTCCTTTTGTGGCAGGGCTGAAATGCAGTGGAAATGTTTTTGGGGGATTAAGTTCATTTTCATGGCAAAGAGGGACTTTGCAATTAATTGCAATTCATCTGATCACTCTTCATGACATTCTGGAGTATTTGCAAATTGCCATCATCAACACTGAGGCAGCAAACTTTGTGGAGACCAATACTTGTGTCATTCTCAAAACGTTTGACCACGACTGTAGACTGGGTGTAGAGGTGTGTAGAGGGGTCGGGGGGTAGAGTTGGATTTAGAGGGCTATAGAGGGGTGTATACTGGGTGTAGAGGGGTGTAGATGGGTGTAGGTAGATGGGGGGTAGTGGGGTGTAGATGGGTAGTAGAGGGCTGGGGGTGTAGTGGGGGTGTAGAGGGGTGTAGGCTGTATGGGGTTGTAGTCGGGTTTAGGTGGGTGTAGAGGGGTGTTGACTAGGTGTAGAGGGGTGTAGAGGGGTGTAGAGGGCTGGGGGGTGTAGAGGGGTGGGGGGTGTAGAGGGGTGTAGATGGTTGTAGAGGGGTGTAGAGGGGTGTAGAGGGCTGTTGGTGTAGTAGGCTGTGGGAGGTGTAGAGGGTTTTAGAGGGGTGTAGAGGGCTGGGGGTATAGTGGGTTTAGAGGGTGTAGAGGGGTGTAGATTGTTGTAGGGTGCTGTAGAGAGGTGTGTAGGGGGAATGTAGTGGGGTGTAGAGGGGTATAGACTGGGTGTAGAGGGGTTTAGAGGGGTGTAGAGGGGTGTAGAGGGGTATAGAGGGATGTAGACAGGTTTAGACTGGGTGTAGAGAAGTGTATAGGTTTGTGGGGTGTGGTGAGTTGTTGTGGGGCATAGAGGGGTGTAGGGGTGTGTAGGGGTGTGTAGAGAGGTGTAGACTGGTGTAGATGGCTGTAGAGGGGTGTGTAGGGTTGTAGAGGGATGTAGAATGCGTGTAGCGGGGTGTACGGGGATGTAGACTAGGTGTAGCAGGGTGTAGACTGGGTGTAGAGCAGTATAGATGGTGCAAAGGTGTGATCCACACATTGTCTGAATCCCATACTATTTAGTCAATCAACCCGAGGGTAAGGTCTCTTTAATCAAGTTAAGAGGAGCTGTGTAGACATTTTAACAGGAAGTCATTAAGAGTCCCGTAAACAAACAAAAAGACTTGACACATAATCCATAAGTAATTAATTAAGAGAAGAAGCTCCCGTACATCTAAGTCACTTTGAATAATTAAAGACAACGAGAGAAGAAGAGAAGAGAGATATGTACAGTGAGGGAAAAAAGTATTTGATCCCCTGCTGATTTTTTATGTTTGCCCACTGACAAAGAAATGATCAGTCTATAATTTTAATGGTAGGTTTATTTGAACAGTGAGAGACAGAATAACAACAAAAAAATCCAGAAAAACGCATGTCAAAAATGTTATAAATTGATTTGCATTTTAATAAGGGAAATAAGTATTTGACCCCCTCTCAATCAGAAAGATTTCTGGCTCCCAGGTGTCTTTTATACAGGTAACGAGATGAGATTAGGAGCACACTCTTAAAGGGAGGGCTCCTAATCTCAGTTTTTACCTGTATAAAAGACACCTGTCCACAGAAGCAATCAATCAATCAGATTCCAAACTCTCCACCATGGCCAAGACCAAAGAGCTCTCCAAGGATGTCAGGGACAAGATTGTAGACCTACACAAGACTGGAATGGGCTACAAGACCATCGCCGAGCAGCTTGGTGAGAAGGTGACAACAGTTGGTGCGATTATTCGCAAATGGAAGAAACACAAAAGAACTGTCAATCTCCCTCGGCCTGGGGCTCCATGCAAGATCTCACCTCGTGGAGTTGCAATGATCATGAGAACAGTGAGGAATCAGCCCAGAACTACACGGGAAGATCTTATCAATGATCTCAAGGCAGCTGGGACCATAGTCAACAAGAAAACAATTGGTAACACACTACGCCGTGAAGGACTGAAATCCTGCAGCGCCCGCAAGGTCCCCCTGCTCAAGAAAGCACATATACAGGGCCGTCTGAAGTTTGCCAATGAACATCTGAATGATTCAGAGGAGAACTGGGTGAAAGTGTTGTGGTCAGATGAGACCAAAATCGAGCTCTTTGGCATCAACTCAACTCGCCGTGTTTGGAGAAGGAGGAATGCTGCCTATGACCCCAAGAACACCATCCCCACCGTCAAACATGGAGGTGGAAACATTATGCTTTGGGGGTGTTTTTCTGCTAAGGGGACAGGACAACTTCACCGCATCAAAGAAACGATGGACGGGGCCATGTACCGTCAAATCTTGGGTGAGAACCTCCTTCCCTCAGCCAGGGCATTGAAAATGTTGTCGTGGATGGGTATGACCCAAAACACACGGCCAAGGCAACAAAGGAGTGGCTCAAGAAGAAACACATTAAGGTCCTGGAGTGGCCTAGCCAGTCTCCAGACCTTAATCCCATAGAAAATCTGTGGAGGGAGCTGAAGGTTCGAGTTGCCAAACGTCAGCCTCGAAACCTTAATGACTTGGAGAAGATCTGCAAAGAGGAGTGGGACAAAATCCCTCCTGAGATGAGTGCAAACCTGGTGGCCAACTACAAGAAACGTCTGACCTCTGTGATTGCCAACAAGGGTTTTGCCACCAAGTACCAAATCATGGTTTGCAGAGGGGTCAAATACTTATTTCCCTCATTAAAATGCAAATCAATTTATAACATTTTTGACATGTGTTTTTCTGGATTATTTTGTTGTTATTCTGTCTCTCACTGTTCAAATAAACCTACCATTAAAATTATAGACTGATCATTTCTTTGTCAGTGGGCAAACGTACAAAATCAGCAGGGGATCAAATACTTTTTTCCCTCACTGTACATGTGCTACTATCGCGGGTGTTAGAAAGCACCGGCAGGCAATGAGAGGAGGAACAGAGGAGAGGAGGAATGTTCACCTCTCTCCACCCTCCTCCTAATCATTTTCTCCTCTTTCGCTGAAGACATGAAGCAGCTGGTATGCATCATTGAGAATGATTTGCGGTCATATCCATTTTCATCCAAAATATATTAGGCCAAACATCTGGACGGTCAGAGGGGTAATGGCTATTGTATATTTTATGAGAGCAGGAAGTTGAGCTGGAGAGTTAATCACGTGAATGAGGCAGTTCAGGTGGATGCAGATTCCCTGTTTAAATCACTGTTTCAGCTTCCAAAGGTCAGTCGCTGCAGAATGACAGTAAATACCTTGGCGACAGAGTGGAACTGAGTGGCCATCATAATTTTGAAGCACTAGTGTGCTATTGCCTGCGAGCCAAATGGACATTTTGGATGTTGCATTTGGATATCTAATGTAATTTCTCAACAGGATCTGCCAGTCTTGTGTGTTGCCATGTTTAATCTACCATATTTTAATAGACAATCACTGCGGTTGATGGACACAATGAATGCCAATAATAGTGGCGGTCTGACCTGTATTTCTACTCCATAGCCCATGTAGACCGTGACTGTGTAGGTGCAGTCCACAGAGGAGTAGTTATGAGAGCTGGACGGCTGGGGCGTCTCTATGTAGCCTTCTGGTGCTGTCAGGTTGAAGATACAGGGAACTGCAAGGACAGAAAACACAGAGAGGAAAACATTGAGGACCAGTGACACCCCTCACTAACCGGCATGGGGTGGAACGAGCTGGAGAAGACTGCCCAGAACAGAATACGATGGAGAGGATTCGTCGATGACCTATGCTCCCAATGGAGCGATGGGCCTAAGTAAGTAAGACACACCCTCAAAAGAACCCTCCCTGGTCCCATTCTCTCACTCACTCACACCAGCACCCCCACTTTAATAGTGTTTCAAGTTTTTCTAATTTTCTGCCCGAATTAACAGAGGCCCTCTCTCTCTCCCCCCTCTTTGGTTGTGTGGCTCGAGGGACAGATCAGGTAGAGGGAATGACCACAGAAAGCCTTGAGGTCTTTCTGCTCAACCGCCGCCTTTCATTTCTATCTTTCTGACTTTCCTCCTGAGAGAGGGATGACAACAGGAAGTTACTGTGTGCTTGTGTGTGTGTGCTTCGTATGTACTGTAGGTGCTTGTGTAGGTGCTTGTGTAGGCACGTGTGTGTGTGTGTGTAACTCAGATATATTGGGAGATTTCCCCATCCTGCCCTTCATTAGTTGTGAAGGGGTCCAAGTGGGTAAAGCACAAATTAAGCAGAGCCTGCGTCTAGAGCGTTCCACTCTAAGATTCCAACCTGGACTAAGGGGTAGATGTAACATAGTAAAAGTAAATCTGTCTCCCTCCATTTAGTATGATATATTATGTTTTGTATGGTATGTATTAATTTGTGGATGTCCATCATCCATTTTGCATGACATGTTACAAATTACAATTCGTATGATATGCTATGAATTGCAATACGTACAATAATGTTATGAATTTGCAATACTTATGACATATTACGAATTCCAATTTGTTGTGGCTAATGTTGGCTAGATGGCTAACGATATCTAGGTGGCTAACATTAGTTAGGCCAAGGGTTAGGGTTAGGGGTGAAGGTTAGGATTAAAGTAAGGGTTGGGAGTTAGATTAATGTGTTAAGGTTAGGGGAAGTTTTGGCTAACATACTCGTTGCAAAGTTGCTAATTAGCTCAAATGCTAACGTTGTCAGTGATTAGATTTGAACCCGCAACCTTTGGGTTTCTAGACTTTCACTTTATACGTCAACCCATCCACTCCGACCAACCACCCTCCTTTAGTTTTTTGCCTTAAGTAACCTTCTGTTTTATGTAACCATACCAAACCTAACATATCATACTTATTTGACTGTCCTGTATATACATTTACTATGTTACGTCTAGTCTTTGAGACCAGGCTGAAAATACTCCTTCTTCACTCCCACCATAACACAAATGTGTCTCAATATCTCATGCTTGCAATGTGTTTTCCAATCCATTTCAGGAGCTCTTGATTGAGTGTGAGAGGAGCAGGAATACTGATGTTATAATTAATTTAAGCCCCTTGGCTGTTTAGATATGTGGGCTGCAAACAGAGAGGATTGAGAGAGCGAGCACAGTGGTGTTTCAGACAAACAGACAGACACAGGGCTGCTGTGTTGGAGAGGGTGAAACACAGCCACTTTACAACTCACCAAGGCCCAAGATTATCTCTAGGACTGCATAATGAGAATATGAGCATGATGTTCATTTTACCTTCACAATGAAGACAGAATCATGGAAACTGGTGTTAGGTGTGGTGCAGGATATTGTATCTGATAGTAATTCATACACTGTATGTTTCTGGGTAAGAATAGGTGATCATTAGGAGTATGTAGCTACATAGCCTGGCTGTGTTACATTACCTGGGTTTTGCATGGTGGTGATGATGGTGGTTGTGGTTATAGTGGTCATAGTGGTCTCCTCATCCACATCACCAGATACTGCAGACGTCCCCATCGCTACCCCATCACTGGCGTGGCTCATGTTGTGTTCTTCTGACTTCCCTGCATCCTTCTCCACTAGAGTGGTCAAAGCTGGGTGAGTCATGGTGGATGCAGTGGGGACCTCAGAGTACCTGTTACCTATAGGAGCGGCCAGGTTGGGGGTGTTTGAGCGGGGAGGGGGAGCAGAGGTGTGCATGACAGGAGTGGTCAGGGTATCCATGGCATCAGCCTCCTCCTCTGTCCTCCTCTCCCTACCATTGGTCAACGCCCCTCTCTGAGTCACAGAGACACGCCCCTCTGGAACAGCGCTGCCCTGTGTTGCCAACGGTGACGTGGCTGTTGCCACAGTGGTAGTGGTTGAGGCAACATCGGAGAAAGCTAGTGCATCCTTGTGTGGCACCGTGTGAATGGCGGGGTCCCTGGCAAAGTCGGGAGCTGAGGGTGGCATAGCAGGGTGGGTCTCCACACCCCCACTGTCCTCAAAGAAATGCCCCTGTCCTTGGAGGGACTCCTGTAAGAGGAAACCCTTGTAGAGAGGGTGGTGGTTGTGGACGTTCAGGGGCGGGGCGGTTGTCACAAGAGGGACCTCTCTGTCAGTGTCCTGTGTGGTGGGGTACGGGCTGGGGCCTCCACTCTCAGACTGTCCCCTCTGGGTGATGTATGTCCCCTCCTCAGAATAGGAGCCTGGAACAACACACACAGAGCACATACATACAAGGTAAATCTAGTGTCACACAGGAAAGATAATATCCCTAAAAAAAACTGTTTAAAGCAGTGAAGCACAGCGCTGTAACATGCTGTAGGTTTTGATGAGGCCCTTTTGAAAACACAGGGCAGTAAAGCCCAAAGAGATTCAATGTTTTTTCCTCCTCCTCATCAATTAAATATGAATGCTTTAGCTGCTTTAATGAGCCTATATGATGGCCTACGTCTGGTGGGGAAAATGAAATGGATCTCCCCCTCCCACCTTCTGCACCTGCAGATGTAATCTAGAGCACTCCAGGAGCCTGTCATCCTACCGCAGCCTACCAGGAGCCTGTCATCCTACCGCAGCCTACCAGGAGCCTCTCCTCCTACAGCAGCCTACCAAAAGCCTGTCATCCTACAGCAGCCTACCAGGAGCCTGTCATCCTACAGCAGCCTACCAAAAGCCTGTCATCCTACAGCAGCCTACCAGGAGCCTCTCCTCCTACAGCAGCATACCAGGAGCCTGTCATCCTCCAGCAGCCTATCATCCTACCGCAGCCTATCATCCTACCGCAGCCTACCAGGGGAAGTGTTCCTCTCTTCACAATGCTTCATTTCCACAACAATAGCGACCCCTCTAAGCACTAATAGCGATCAATATTTTTGTTTATTTTTTACCCCTTTTTCTCCCCAATGTTGTGATATCCAATTGGTAGTTACAGTCTTGCCCCATCGCTGCAACTCCCGTGCAGACTCGGGAAAGGTCAAGAGCCATGCGTCCACCGAAACGCGACACCGCCAAGCCGCACTGCTTCTTGACACACTGCTTCTTGACCCGGAAGCCAGCCGCACCAATGTGTCGGAGGAAACACCGTACAGCTAGCGACCGAAGCCAGCGTGCATGCGCCCGGCCGCCACAAGGAGTCGCTAGAGCGCGATGGGACAATGACATCCCAGCCGGCCAAACCCTCCCCTAACCCGGATGACGCTGGGCGAATTGTGCGCCGCCTCATGGGTCTCCTGGTCGCGGCCGGCTGCAATACAGCCCGGGATCTAACCCGGATCTGTAGTGACGCCTCTAGCACTGATCAGTGCCTTAGACCGCTGCGCCACTTGGGAGGCCCTAATAGCAATATTTTTCAAACAATCAGAGCCCAAATATCAGAAGCGCCAGGCACACCGAAGACATCGAACGTGGGCAGCAAGTAAAAGAAAAGATTATACTGTATCTCAAAACAAACTGACTATATATCTATACACTCTTTTCTATGAAGTGTAAAAAGCACAATGTACACATTTCTTATCCTAGGAGCGGCATGAGTTTTGTAAAAAGATCGACTCCTTGGCTGGGATTAAATCAAATGTACACTCGGTATGTCAGTCATATTCATGGCAATGACACGTGAAAGCCGTTGCCAGGGGAGAGAAGCTATGAGTCAGACTGAAAATACACACACAGAGATTGTAGATAGATCATTGCTGGTAAAACAGCCTATAGGGAGGAGGTCAGAGACCTGGCCGTGTGGTGCCAGGATAACAACCTCTCCCTCAACGTGACCAAGACAAAGGAGATGATTGTGGACTACAGGAAAAAAAAGAGGACTGAGCACGCCCCCATTCTCATCGACGGGGCTGTAGTGGAACAGGTTGAGAGCTTCAAGTTCCTTGGTGTCCACATCACCAACGAACTATCATGGTCCAAACACACCAAGACAGTCGTGAAGAGGGCACGACAAAGCCTATTCCCCCTCAGGAGACTGAAAAGATTCGGCATGGGTCATCAGATCCTCAAAAAATTCTACAGCTGCACCATCGAGAGCATCCTGACTGGTTGCATCACCGCCTGGTATGGCAACTGCTTGGCCTCCGACCGCAAGGCACTACAGAGGGTAGTGCGTACGGCCCAGTACATCACTGGGGCCAAGCTTCCTGCCATCCAGGACCTCTATATCAGGCGGTGTCAGAGGAAGGCCCTCAAAATTGTCAAAGGCTCCAACCACCCTAGTCATAGACTGTTCTCTCTGCTACCGCACGGCAAGCGGTACCGGAGTGCCAAGTCTAGGTCCAAAAGACTTCTCAACAGCTTCTACCCCCAAGCCATAAGACTCCTGAACAGCTAATCATGGCTACCCGGACTATTTGCACTGCCCCCCCATCCCATCTTTTTACGCTGCTGCTACTCTGTTAATTATTTATGCATAGTCACTTTAACTCTATCCATATGTACATATTACTTCAACTACCTCAACTAACCGGTGCCCCCGCACATTGACTCTCCACCGGTACCCCCTGCATATATAGCCTCCCTACTGTTATTTTATTTTACTTCTGCTCTTTTTTTCTCAACACTTTTTTGTTGTTGTTTTATTTTACTTTTTTATTAAAAATAAATGCACTGTTGGTTAAGGGCTGTAAGTAAGCATTTCACTGTAATGTCTGCACCTGTTGTATTCGGCGCATGTGGCCAATAAAAATTGATTTGATTTGATTTGATAAAAGTAAAACATCTTAAACAATACTGCATTTCAATATACTAATACTATTGTTAAAATGAAATGAGTATTTGAGGCTTTACATCAAATGTCTGACTGATAATAGACTCTCAGAGTCAGATCTACTATAGGACTTTACAATAGTACTACCAAAGACAAATGTCTTTGATGAGGTAGCAAACAGCATACTGTAAGGATCAAATGGTATTACCTGTATAACCACAGGGTATTTGTTATAAAGCCTATACACATCTCCCTCTCTCCCCCTTTCTCCTTTCCTTTGTCCGAAGCCAACACTTCAGGAGACACAGGCACAGAGAGATTCAGAGAAAAGGGAATAGCCTCAGTGGCACATTCAAGTTTTCTAAAGACCGCAGCAGAAAATAGGCTTATCTTGAATAAACCATGAATTCAATATAAACTCCAACGATTAAAGTTCTGAAAAACCTTAACATCATGGCTATGAGGTCTGGGCTCAAGGCTTCAAAAACATGGAAGCAAAACCCCTTCTTAGGGAAGCACAGTCAATCCAGTTTAAAGAAATCCAGTTGATTCCTCTTGAAAGAGAAGACCCATGCTCTTGCATTTTATATTGAAACTACATTACACACACACACACATACACACACACACTCACACACACTGACTGAAAGTTGGCTAAATCATCTCTACACTGTACCATGAATAATTGAACACCATGGAGTCATTTTCACCTGAGTAGCCTGGGTCTCCCTTGGGTCTGGGCCTGGGTGAGGATCTTAAAGCAGAGTGGTTTTCTCGCTCTTGAATCAACAGTAGTACACAGGGGTATGTGTTCAGACCAGGGATTGGAACCGGTTCAGGGAACAAATCCGAAAACTGGAAAATAACTACATTTTTCCAGGAACAGAATCCGAACCGGGAACGAAAGTGATCTCTACTGTTCTGGAACAGAACCGTTATTTTAAAAGCATGGGAACCAGTTAATAACGTTATTTTACGTTCTGGGTATTTTTTTACAGTCCCACAAAAAATGCAACAAAGCACCTATGCAAAGCCCTCCCTCTGTCAATCAGAAACTTCTTCTGGTGTCTGCTTTCCTGCTGAAAATCTTTACCAGTGTGTGTGTGCGTGTAGCCTACCTGCCCCTCCCCCTCGGAAGCATAGCTGTAGCCCGACGTTACAAGCATGATTCAGAAGATAGGGAGAGAGATTTTTAATTAGAGAATGGATTAACTTTTTCAATGCTAGTTAGGGATACTATAGTTATCACATTTCACACTACAAAAAGGTAAGATGTGTTTTTAATTCTGGTGCCGCTCTGCACAGACAAGCTTGCTAGCTAGCTAGCTTCTCTGGTCCAACGTTAAGCCAACTCTGATGTTCAAAGACATTAAAAGTTCCTCCATAGAATCCGCTCCTCCGTAGGTATAATTCTTTAGGCCTAATTCAGATAATGCATGTCATCACAATATGCCCAGTGCTTCAAGCCAAGCCTCCTCCTCCACCCTCTCTCGCTCTCTACCCACCCGCAAAATTCCAGTCACCAACTACACTTATCTTTCCATCACACATGTAAACAACTCACTGAGCTATAGCTTTCCCGCTCCATAGCAAGCTGCTCTAGCCGCACTGCATGATTTGTGAAGTAATTTAATTTTGAGCTAATTGTAAAAAAAAAAAAAAAACATGATTTCATAGGTTTAGAAAGGAACGATATAAACCGGTACTTTATTTTGTTTTAACCAGTTCAGACCTTTATTTTGTTTTAACCAGTTCAGACCTTTATTTTGTTTTAACCAGTTCAGACCTTTATTTTGTTTTAACCAGTTCAGACCTTTATTTTGTTTTAACCAGTTCAGACCTTTATTTTGTTTTAACCAGTTCAGACCTTTATTTTGCTGGTCAGAACAGTGGAACGGAATGAAAAGTATAATGCTTCTGTTCAGAACGAAACTATTGGAAAATAATTTGTGCTCCAACCCCTGGTTCAGACAGTGGTTTCTCTCTTGCACCCTCTTCTGAACAGTACAATTCTCCTCCTTAACATCCACCCCGCCCCCAACAGTTACACACACACACTTATCGTGAGGAGCATCTTGACCAATGACATTCCTATTATGGAGGACACATTAAAAGTGCACTAGAAATATAAAACCAGTAAGGATGAAGAGGAAAAGGGAAAACTCTGACTGTTCCTCGAATGTAATGTCTTTGATTTGTTGTCCTCCTGCTAGATTGTTTCGCCCACTTAAGTATAACACACACAGGGCCTGATAATGAATCTATTGAGATGGCATAGCTCTGGCCATGTGCTGCTAGCAGACTCTAATTACGTGGGCAGAGAAGTGAAGAGAGACACTGTGCTGTAGCTATCATTTACAGTACACAGACCAAGCTTTCCACACAGTGCAGAGCTACAGACAGCATGTATAACAGGGCACTAGACTCACACGCGTACAACAGTGGCGTACCACAGTTTCGCGAGGCGATAATTCAAATACAATTTTAGATTTCAGAATAGCAGAGACATTTTCTTTCCAGCCTTATT